TGCTTGGTGTGAGTAGAGCGAACCCAATGTATTCAGAACCAATTTAAACAATATAACGAGGATTAGGAGTAAACTTTCTGACTATTAAAGCACAATAAAGATGCCAGTGTCTCCGTGGTTTATTTTGGAATAAACGAAGCTGGCACAATTTTATGTAGCACAAACGAAGGAAGACAACATTGGAAAGACCTAAAGGACTAAAAAGCAAACTGGTGGCAACTATATCGTAGTGTCAGCCACGTTTTTGATATTCACTTGATCGAATAGTTCGTATAAGACAGTCTGTTGAATGAATGTCGCTTAACTTCGGAGGAATCCACATTGACCAGCATACTTCGACTTCAGTGGTGGTGGTAGTTTCACCACACTCCTGTTCAGCAGGCTTCAGTTGCTCCCTAGATATATGTTTCTGGTCAGCGATAGCTTGTGCCTATAGAGGCATCTTTGGCAGGAACAACTTACGAAAATTGAAACCAAACTGGTCCTATTTAGGTCCCACATCACTGGTTATCAGATCATGCCCATCTTGAGTAGTGTGAGATGTCAATATGCTCATTCAAAACTGTGGAGTTGTTTATCGGAGCGTATGCTTCTTCCTCTGGTGGGACAGTGACAACGTATTTCCGTATAACGGAATTAAACAACTTCCGATTGCCAAGCCCGATCAAGTTCGAGTGTCCTACTCAATGACAGAGGTAGTGTGATAATCGAACTTTCAATTGTTCTACGGCCATCACAGAGCTGGTATGGCGTGAAAACTTGGGTGCACAACACATAGTTGCTGTCTAGCTTCTTGAAAGCATGCAGAAAAAGGTGCGAGATTGAAATTATGCATTATTGGGACCGGGTGATGCCAGGAAGGTGTACTACATATTTTGTGTTATACTTCCATGCGCACTACATTGAAGAACTTACCCCTGACGGTCTTTATGCCTGTAAAGACTCTTCCTGTTATTAGACAGCATGGAATGACGCCTGCATGACCGCCGATGTATTCTTATTCATACACACAAAGACTTCTGGGACACTTCTGATTTCACAATAGTAATGACCCAAATAACAGTTCACGACTGTGGGGAAATAATCGAGTGATGTGGGTGAATATGTGATCGCCCGCAACTTTAAAACTAGAATTCTGAATTCTGAGGTGTCTGGCGAACTGTATGTTGTACATTCAGCTAAACGATAGTGCGAAAATGTCTGTTAACCAAAGAGGGGGACTTTGTGTCAAAACCACTTGCAATACTCGTAGAGGTCCATAACTTCCAAACGTATACTACGCAGCTGTTCACAAGTGTCAACGAATTCGTGCCCTATTCAGTGACCATCCTGCAACTCAGGCCCGTAGCATTTGTCAAACCGTCCGTCACATATTTATACTCAGGGGTTGGTATATGAAGGGTGACAAACTTGATTTAGTTCTGAGACCTACCTGTTACGATATGAATCAAACTGGATGATAATTCGTTTCCCGTATCATAGATATTTGATGTGAGCAGTGCAGTGCCACACCTGGGATGCGACGGCTAGTGCACCAAAAAGGACATTTCAATTGTCAGTCCGTTGCCATACGAGATACAACATGCAGCGGTCTACTTGCGTCTGGGTGGAGGTCAGGCTGCAGGTGCCCTAAACGTAATTTCGCTTGGCCGTGGCCGGCACCCTAAAGGTAAACTCGAAAAAGGTTTGAGAAAGCTGATGGCAGAAAACGTGGTGTCAGTTCCCACCAGGAACAACTACTGCGAGGATAAAGGGGTCTCACCGCCTCACAGTTCTCCAGTTAACTGTGTCACTAGCAGTGCACACCATCGGTTTTGCAGTGTTTAATCTGCCTTATGATTTTTATTTCTGCGATGTGATGGCCTCTTAAGTTACGGCTTGGTCCACTGCTAAGCACGGGTTGAATGACCGACTTTGTCATCTGGCGCGAACGCCTAGAAATTGTAAGCTCACATACTCATGCAGGGGAAGATATCCCAGTTGTTCTATGACATTGATTACAATATCAGCTTGAATAGCCTGTTAATTTCACGTGAAATAGAGGGCAAGGGGAACAGTTTCACCTGCTAACGGCCGGTTGAAAGCCAGATAGACGGCAGTCGAGCCTTGAAACCCATTTTTGTGTCACTTTTCAGTTTTTCACACAAAACTGCCTGGCGGTGGAGCACATTGAATTCCCGCACGTTTAACACGAAGACACTAGTCGCCGTTCCACTTGGCGTGTGCTTGACGGTGTAATCTGGCACGTTGAACCATGGATACCTTCTGCTTTTCTGCACAGCTCTGGTTGCAAGCAAGCATAGGCGGTGGCTGACCATGTCCCTCATCCTTTTACTTTGAGAGATTTGAATTGATTTCAGAGATATCCTGGCCTCAAATGAGTTTGCGCCGGGATAAGAAAACACACAGCATAATTGAGGCCAATGGAGATGCTAGGCATAAGAATGTTAAGGTTTTCAAGCCCGATTTTATCTGACATCTAGCATTGAATATACATCCTTGGTGATGCTGCATACCTTAACGTGAACAGTATGAAAAAGGATTGTCACTGGTCCGCAGTTCGTTCAAATGTTCATTCCCTTGCACCACAATACCTAATTCTGATGGCGTAAATCTATATCGCTGTGAATGATAACACCTGAATAGATATTCACTTGGAGTACATGATTATGTGGAAACGTACCGATTCTCGACATCGTCAGTGTGGGTTCTTTTGGTCTCCGATGCTATAAGCATAAGCATAAGAATTTATGGTAAAATAGGCGTTTATCTGGCGTAATGAGGCGTTGTGAAGACGAATCAAACATGTCGATTGCTTGTAACGGAAGTTTGGAATTTTGCGTAACCTTGGTACCATTGATGGTAAGAAAGAAGGTATGACTGAAAACAATCCAAACTTCAACACTGTATACGCTGAAAGGCGGTAGTTTCTTGTTCATTTCATAACCTCTGAAATGTTCTGGCGTTTTTAATCGAATTTAATGACCTCCCTTCCGTACCATTCAGGTCTCGTAAAATCTTGTGCATTTTCCAAAATACTTCAATGCGATGATGCCTGTAAACCGGCTTCTCTCGTGTTAAACTACTAATATGAGAAGAAAATATTTATTTGTTTATCCATATCACCTTATGAAATTGCAGCAACTGAGTCTTAAGTCCTTCCTACATCAGTGGCTCGAAGAAAGAGACCAACAGACATAGGCTATGGCCAGCGGTCTTAGTGGCCTCCTATGGACTTTTGATGACAACAATGCCAGAAAGGAAGTGGTCGACAGATACTTGTTATCGCCACCCCCCATGGTTTCTCCGACACTGAACAAGAAATATGACTATTCCAAACAAAAATTCTTCTTCAATAACACAGTGGTAGAACCAATGGAACTGTTGTTTTCTACGCACACGGCGCAAAGATTTAATTTTATGGTCTCTGAACGATCTTAATGCTTTTGCTCTTAACCTGGGCTCGGCCAAGGCCTTCGGTAGCGTCCCACGTTGCGCCATGCTCACTTAGCTTGCAAAAGTGGGTATCACTGAACCGCTCACAGCACGGTTTACCTAGAGGACAGAGTTCTGCACTAAAGTAAACGGAACTCGGTCAACCTCGAGGAATACAAGAATGGAAGCTTCTCGAGGAGAGATCCTTAGGCCACCTCCACTTCCACTATTCCTAAACGACCTTCCCACCAAAATATCGTCCACCCTCCTATTTGCCGATGATATCAACATATGGAGGACAGCGGGCGAGGAAGAGGGTCCTAGGATACTCCAGAATGATCTGTTGCAGATGGAGTCCTGGTCGGCTGCAAACGGTTTAGGCTTTGACCTGGAGAAGTGCGAGGTGATGTATCCTCGCACACCGGAGGCGATGAAAATCAGCTACACTCTTAACAACTATGCAGTCGCCAAGATACTCGCTAAACCTTTCTGACACACTGGGCACTACTGGTAATTGTAAGGGAATGGCAGCAAAGGCAAACGCCATCATGCACTTTCCGAGAAGACAGCCCGGATCGTTAACCCCAGAATTATTCACCATGGCATTTAAAACCTATATTAGACCACACTTGGGGGTGTTCATCTTGATGGTCCCCCTCCCACTACTAAAGAGAGACGCAAATACTCTCAAGAAGGCACAGAGAAGAGTGATAAGGTCGGTTGTTGGACTAACAGGCAAAAAATATACCCAACGCCTCAGAAAACTCAACTTGCTCACGTTAAGCTATCAAAGGGAACGAGGTGACCTAACAACAGCCCACAAGATTATTCACCAAGCGGACCACCCAAATAGGTCAGCGTTATCGGTCCCAAACCGATGGTCCTGTGGGAACCCTATTCGCATGCCCCACCATATGGTAAAGACGAGAGTGAGCTCTGACTTTTCTCCCACAGAGTATGTTTCTTATGGAGCGCTCTGCCAGAGGAAGTAGCCAGAGATACATCAGTCGACTCCTTCAAACGACTGCCGGATGCTTATGTGAGCGAAAATGGCTTGCTTGTCAGTAGCAACTGATGATATGTTCTCCCGCCCCTGTATTCTCCAACCCTAGTATCTCCAATAAGACGCGTCTCTCCTCCATATTATTGCCAGTAATACTTCTTTCCACAGGTACTTTTCACCCCTCTTTTCTCATTCCCCATTCACCCTATTTCTAGCACTTTTTGGGCAACGCTTAATAACAACTTGTAGGTGCTTACAAGAATAGGAATTCCAGACGGTCGATTGATCTCACCAGCAACTATGCTGTCCCCCTCCCCCAAAGAAACAGAACAAACTACAACTTGCAAATAAAATACCTTCAAATAGACGATCACTAACTCCAAAGTTATAAGCAGGAGAAACGCAGACTTCTGAGATCATCGTAGGAGCACAACCGAACAAAAAGAACTGAGACTCAAGGCTTAGAAGCGAGAGCTCAAAAACTAAGAGTTTTCCCTACTCACATAATTGATGTTGGATGTTGGATGCTGTGTCGGCTTGTTTTACCTATCAAAATCGTAAGGTCAGTTGGTACTAAATGATGTAATGCTGAAAGTTGACTTCTGTTAATGTTGCATACCTACGCTGTGTTGCCTTTGCAAACTATTTTGTGTTGGTCACTTCTTCTGTTTGTATATTTAGAGATATTCTTCGAGTCTTGTTGTGTTATCTGTCCAGTTAGTTTCAGAATCGCAACTAACAATTTTTGTAGCCACAACTATGTTCAGTACATCACAGGGTAGCAAGATAAGATGTACGGAAGTAACAAAAATCTTTTATCAACACTATGGTTAAAGTTGGCACCCTGGGAATGTACTTTTAGCCTTAGTTTTTAGAGCCTCCAGCTGTCGACCTTCATTGTTGCGGTGATACTCAATGATCGACGTTGATATGTTGGTCAGTATATGACCCTGCTATATCCTTCGAGGGTATATACAGAAAGTAATTAGTTGAATTTCTGAAGAAAAATGAACAGATTAACTGATAGGTTTTGGTAATGGTCTGATTATCCCAAAAATTAAAATTCTGATTTTCCGGGCATTTTCTTGTTCAAAGCGTTACTACCTCGTACATCCAATTTCACACCATGGGAATCTGTTTTACCATTTTATTTTTTCTTAGTCAATCATAACTAAGTTTTGAATCCTTGGTTGAGTGGATTTCACGTAAATGAGCAACGTAAGCCTAACCTGAAGTCGTATTATACGCAACTTAATAAGTTTAAGCATCCTAGTAGTTTCCACCTCAACATGTAAAGCTCCTCAACACTTCCTTTCTGCTATTAATAATCTGTTAAAAGTTATCATCATTTCCACCATTTCGAGCATCCTATTAGCCGGTTAATGTAAAACAACAAAGTTTGATTCCACTCAGTTTTCATCACATTATGAATTTACTTTCGAATGCTTTCACGCGTTCGTAACTTCCTTTTTGTGTTTGTATCTGGTTTTAAGTTGCTGTTGCAGGTGAGGGTAATTTCTTCCATCAACTGAGTGACTTTGACAAGATGTACTCCACAAGTATTGTAGTGCTAGTTGGTGACCTGAATGTATAGGTTAGGCGTCTACGCCTAAACAAGGGCCGTTTAGGTGGCCGACGAGGGATGACCTCAGCAGCTTCTCGCAAATCACCTATTGTTACCCAGTATGAACTTCCGGTACAGTTACCGTTGCTGTTTATATCTGGCATCTTCCTTCTGCCACTTAAGCTTGGACTCAAATAGACCATATTACAATCAGCTAACCATTGGGTGGGTGTGTTCACCACCGACACTCCTTTTGGACCACCTGGCTGGACTTTTATCATACCTTATTTTGTACCAGGTTCTTGTTACGTTTTGGTTATCGTCAGAATATTCATCCTTAACCGGTCGATGTAAGTACACTTGTTGCAACTAAATACCAAACTAAGGCTAGCTTTCAAATCTCCAAAAAGCATAAGTAAGCAATAGTTGTGCCCACAAAACACCGTGGAAATGGAGAGTAAAGCTGCTTGTGGTTTTAAAGAATATTCTACATATAATCATTAAGTATCTGCAAGCTCCTTATAACATCTTGATCCTATTCAGGGTATTCTGACAGGTAACGAGTACAATGGTGAGCGAAATGTCTTACTCAACAGATCAGACAGCATTTGTGTAAGGATCATGAGGTCTCGTAGTAGGACTCATGAGTCAGGTGGAAGAAGCAGCTTCATCTAGCAATAGTTCGAAGCTATCTTAAGTCATCAGAGCCACCGACAGCAAAAAGCCATGTGTCAATGGGACAGCCTATTGAATAGGTGGTACCCTGATATCCGGGCTCCTGAAATCCTGGGTGGAACACTTCGAGAACAGTCGACTGCTCCGACAACGACCTCACTGTTTTGTCCTGCTTATTCATCTAATACGAACAAAGCGGAGGTTCGTAGGGGATCCTAAGTTCCAAAACGCCATAAGGAACCCGTTCCAAACAACCCACTCGCTTCAGTTTTCAGGATGACTGTGAAAATATAGCCGGTGACCTGACTATCTTGTTTGGGAAAGTATAGCAGACACTCGTCACGTGTTCATCTTCCGCCAGATGCTTGTACATCGTCAAACATATTCCAGACCAATTATCTTTGTATTCCTCGATATTAGGACTGCCTATGTTTCACTGGATAGGGCTGTGCTCTGAGATTATTTGTTAAAGACGGATGCCTCTGAGAAGCCTCATACTTCAACACCTCAGAGTGAAGGCTTGTAACTATCTCCATTTTTACAAACTAATAATGGTACTGGGCAGGGCTTCGCGAATGTATCGCTCCCCTTTGACTGTTCCATCGATGACGTTCTAGTAATAGCCCTAGCGTGATGATGGCGTAGACCAGGAGAAAAACGTCTGTACACCAAGTATGTGAATGATGTCGTGTTATTGTGCGACAACAAACAAGCTAGTGAAATTTCCATCAGTTAGTGATCAGTGTCTTTAGTCATGATATATGCCTTGCACCATCTAAGTGCTTCGATAAGATTGATGAAAACCTGCACCTGGACTCACCCTTGGTGGTTGATCGCTGGAAATTTTCACAAAGTTTGTGTTTCTGGATAGTTGTATGAGTGCTGGTGATATAACATTAGATCTTGGTACCCATGTACCAAGTTCATATCGTAATAAGACAAAAATAAATAGGTAGACGTAATCCTTTGATGTATTCCACAATGCAAAGGCTTTTCCTAGATCTTAGCTTATACAGTTTTTATACCATCGTACTGCATACACAGTTTTACTGTCCTCTAATAATCACTTTCTTTTTAGTTCAAGGAATATCATCAAATAATATCCATGCCTGACCATCTGGATTGTAAGCAAATAAGTGAGGTTTTACCGGAAAACGGGGAGGACATCGTTACTCCATGGGAAGTATCGACAAGTTCAAGCAGCGGAGTTGACTATGATAATCTTATTGTTCGGTTTGGATGCTCAAAAATCAACAGTGATTTGCTTCAACGACTTTCAAACATTTGTCCAAAACCGCTTCATCACCTTTTGAGACGTCAAATTTTCTTCTCTCATAGGTAAACTGTAACTTCCTGAATAAATTTGGTTAAGGGATTTAGAACAAATTATATTGCGCATTGAGCAGAAAAAGCCATTCTTTCTGTATACAGGTAGGGGTCCTTCTTCAGAATCCCTACATCTTGGGCATGTCATTCCATTCATTCTGAATAAGTTGTAGTTAATTTCACAGTCATATTTTTTAGGTGGCTTCAGGACGTCTTTGACGTTCCTCTCGTAATCCAGCTAACTGATGATGAGAAGTTTTTGTGGAAAAATCTGTCCATTTCCGAAGTTCGTCATCTAACTCGTGAGAACGCGAAAGATATTATTGCAATGGGTTTTGACCCTAAGAAGACGTTTATTTTCAGTGATTTTGAGTACATGGGGTACGTCTCTTTGCGTTTTTAACTTTTATTGACTGGGGTTTTATTCGATCATTTTTTCCCCAGTAATTTTTTCAAACCAAATGTAAGACCTCTCCCGTCAACTAGTAATTTACAGCTAGTGTTTAATAACCCCCAGAAGTCCCCGTTTTTCTGTACTTTCATATTCATTAATGTATCTGTTGCATTGTATATAGGGCCTGATGTTCTCCTTCTTCAGCCATAATTGTCGTCGTTCTCCTTTTAAAAATCAGATTAGAATCTTCTGACAAACGTTTTCTTTATATCACCCAAGGTTGTAGTCATTTGACAAGTGATCATGCATCTCTTTTTACTTGTTTGTATCAGATAGTTCAATTTCATGCCATATGTCGTGTTCATTCTGCTAATCGACTGTACTATTGCTGTGCATGCAAGCTCATGGAAGTGGACAACAGAAAGAATCATAAATTTCCTAAACTAGCCAAATGTAACTAAGCAGTTGTCTGGACTTAAATACTGTTCGCCTGTTATATTCACGAGCATGTCTTGTAAATGGATATTATATCTATTTAAAGCTTTATATATCTAATTCTGGACTTTATTTTAACGAGATTTTTATCTTTGGTTCCGGAATTATTTCTTGTGCTTTTTTACAGCTTGGGATACTTTTGAGTAAGATTATTAAAGCTAATTTTCTCTTCTTCAGCAGTAGAAAGACAGCATCTTCAGAAGTGTTGATCATTGACACCAACGTTTTGTAAAGTTTATAAGTCCAAGGCAACATCTGTCGTCATCTGATCAAGCTGTTTTTTTTCAGTATCTTGATAACTGACAAACTCTTTACCTATTCATAAATCCTTATCATTTACGACTCATGAAATTATGGCTACATCACTTATTATCGTAGTCTCCTTTGTATTGGATATTGGTCAACTGCAGCACTATAGAATAGTATATAGGTCTAGGTTGCTTCACTTCCCGACTACCCAGTATGACAGGATAAAACGAAGGAAAGTAAAACAAATCACGACAACATGAGCAGACGAAGTCTGAAACACGTGAATTTATATGAAGTTCAAAATTGAGAGAAGTACCAGATGTCTTTACATCATTCTAATTGATTTTCAGCTGCGCCACCTAACGCTTCAAACTACTGGTTTTTATCATTTTGTGGATCTCAGTCAAAAAGCCTACAATTTACCTCTTTATACTAACAGTCCTTGAGTTCATGGATTGATAGCATGTCTTGGTCTAGTTTTCTTTAATTTTTATCAGTTTAGTCGTATATCAGCCTGTCATTGCCTGTTGATTTCGTACGCGATATGTCTCAACAGCCTTACCTGATGCTATTTCAATAATTAGTTAGCTGACTATTTGTATCTAAAACCCTACGTCCAGCTTCAGCGTTCCTTACTCACTAATTTCTCCAAGCGCTAGCGACACTAAATATATTTATGATCGCCCACCTGCAATCTTAGTTGCCTAGCCGGCTGACAACTGCCACCTTGGCGTAGTGGTTGCTTTTGTATATTGTGATAACCCAATGGGTTATATTAAATGTGAAGATTTTTCCTTGAGGTACTGCTAAGCCAGAAACGCTTGCTTTTGTCGTATATTTCAGTGTCATACTCATGTAGTTACATTTACCAAACATCTGATGCCCAGAAAAACGTAATGCAGTAGAGTTAAAAACAAAATTTAAAGTTTACTTATCATGCCCTTGTTTTCATCGTCTAATCTAAACTATTTGAACTGGAAGTCAAACAAGTAAGCTCATAGTGTATAATTTAGCACCAGGGGACACTAGCACATATATGTGGTATAATTGCCTTTCACCGTCCGAAGCTACTGATCAAACTCATTCCTGGTAATATAAGCCAGTAATATACATTCAGTCTTTCTTTGTAGAAAGGGATGAGTTGTGGTAATAAGGTAGTTTTCGGTACAACGCTATGAAATACGTAGTTGCTTGTCCTATTTATATACACTACAGTTTTCTGTTTGAATGTGTTTATTTAAATCGGATCTACCTAAAAACTGAACTCGTGATTTCGCCTAACATATCAGCTTTTGTCGTGATTATTGCTTCCCTACTTCTATGGTCCTCCATCTCTTGATGTCCTACTTATCATGCAGTTAGTTGTTGTCATGATCTCCAGATATCTTGTTACTAAAGTATTCTTAAAACACCTCCAAAAACCCTTCTGTCTATTTGCTTTTAATCAAGGTATCTGATAGAGAAAAAAATTGTGGGGTCGCAGAGCCCATGGGACATCTGCTTGAGGCCTGTTACACAGTCTTTTGCAGATTGCTGTCTTGAGATTTGGTTGTTCTAATGTCGATTCGAGAAAACAGATACCACCGGCATCGGAAGACCATGGACTAGGGAGGAGTGTACTGTTTTTGGAACCGACCTTTTCTAAACCATGGTTTCCACAGAAAAGGCAGCATCAGTGTGGGACTGTTGGTCATCCGCTGAAAATACCTTACTGCTGTCACATCCCAATCTACCATCAGTACGACTTTGCCCTCGGATCTCCATCATAGTTTAGTAATTTAAACTAGAGCGGTAGCTGCTTTCCGTCTTACCATTATCCAACAGACCTTTCTGGCATGGTAGGACCTCAAGGGAACGAGCGTACCAGCCAGTGTAGCTCATTAGGTCATTATGGTACACAAGCCCGACCACTACCTCAGGGTAGCAGCTGTCGGTCGGGAATCAAGCTCTTAGTCTTGAATTATTTAATCAAAACTTAGTCACTCCTTTCTTTCTAATGATTTACGTTACTTAAAATTCACTCAACACACATGTGAATGGGTTAGTGTTTCAACAGTAAGATTTCGTAGCTCAAGTATCGAAGTCCAGTAATACATAGAAAGTTGCCAAGCCATTCCAAAAATGGAAATCAAACAGAAAGTTTGTACAATCATATTTATGTTGGTGTACACTCAGTTTTTGATTAAAATTTTCCCTTTCAGAACATGCCCAAACTTTTATCGTACCATTTGTCAAATACAACGCTTAGTTACATACAATCAAGTCCGTGCAATTTTCGGTTTCAATGATAGTGATTGCATTGGAAAAATATCTTTTCCAGCTATTCAAGCAGCTCCTTCATTTGCTCAATCTTTTCCATCAGTCTTTCAAAATATTAAAAAGCCAGAGGAGGTGGGCTGTTTAATCCCATGCGCTATCGATCAAGACCCATACTTTAGAATGACACGAGATGTTGCTCCTCGCCTTGGACTGCCAAAACCATGTCTTATGTACTCAGTATTCTTTCCTGCCTTACAAGGGAATCAAACAAAAATGAGTGCAAGCAATCCAAATACGTCAATATTTCTAACAGATACACCGAAACAAATTAAAAATAAGGTAATTATTGGTAGTTATCCAATGTTTTCGTAACATCCCCAGGTATTATGCAACATGAACCATGTGTACTTAGTGTACCTTTTCACATGTAAACGGATTTTTATGAAGGTATATAATGCTATTGTTGCCTTTGATGTGAGTGACTTAGACTGGAACCTCGGAGAAAATTAATATGAGCATAAAACTTGAGCACTTTAGTACTATGTAGTTCCATTTTAGTAGATTTATTAGACATATCACACAGTGGGACAGTATTATTTACTCGATTACGTTTCGGACATAATTTGTTGTCCATAGTCATATCAACATAAGTACACAACTTTGAAACATTCGTAATATACTCTTAATTTTCTCCCCCCGTTTCGTGATATGGATAGTAGAATTTTCCATATATACGGAACAGATGCTGAGTCATTCCTGTTGCGTGTATTCGGTATTGATTCGATAATCGAAGATTCAGTTATTAATCTCTCCCTCTACCTCACTATGTTAGTTGTTAAGGCTTTTCACCCTATCCCTTCCTATTGTGTGCTTGTGTGTAGTTGCATGCATAGCTATGGTCCAGCTTGTTTCTAACTTCTTTATCTTACTAAGATGTAGGATCCACCAATTTCGATCTAGTTAAGTTTTTGTGTTTGGATAGCCTAATTGACCCACCAATAGTTTCTTTGCACATATTAATTCAGTAGTCAAAGCAATCCACTTTACCAATGAATCAAAAATTGATGAAGGGGAGTTAGCGAAGTTGGATTGAAGAATGAAAAGAAAACAAGGCGGGAATTAATACACATGTCTCTGGGAAACCTTCACACTAGAATCGTTGCGTAGACTCCGAATCATGTCACCTTGTGTCAGTTGAAATTAACTCAGTAAAATATCGAAATAACAGGACCAAGAAACTTACTAGTAAAACAGAATGTATTAAAGACACCTTACTCATCAATAATTACCTTCCTAAATTCATTAATAAATTTCTTAGTGCTCGTAAGAAAAACATGATCGATGTCAGTAACAGAGGCGTTGATATTAACATTGATAATAATACTAATAATAGTACCGTTAAGTGAAAACTAAAAACATCTACAGTATTATCATACAAGGAAGGCACGTCAGAAACATTGCATCGGATTCTGAATAAGGCCGCGATTAAAGTGACCTATCGACAAATTCACTTGGAAATAAACTTTTATAGGCTATAAGATCTCAGGTATCCAATGAAGCAGAATAATTTAGTTAACCAAATCCCTTTTAACGACTGCCAGGTCAAATGCATAGATCAAAGTATTCGACCAGGGTCAGTTAGACTATTCGAGCACAAAAACCCAACTAGATCAAAATTTGTAGATTCTAGTAGGACAAAGAACTGAGCAACAAGTTTGGCCATAGCTATGCATGCAATAAAACAAAACCATACAGTAGGATGGGGTAGGGTGAAAATCTTGAATTCCATATTACATTTGTTTATTTGATTGATAACACAGTGATACAGTATTATTTACTTGATGACGTTTCGAGCATAAACTTCTACTCATCATCGTATCAAAGTAACCACACTACTTTCGACATTTGATTTTTAAAGTCCTGTCACCTGATATCCTTTGTTTTTGGTGGTAAAATTTTCCATATCTCTGGTATAGGTGTTGCGTCATTTCTATTACATGTGTTGCGTGTTGTTTTCATGAGCGAAGACCCAGTAATCAATCTCTCTCCCCACCTAATTATATTGGTTTTAAGTACAATGGCTTTATCCCATCTTATTATATGTTAATACATGCATTGCAATAGCCAATATTTTTTTTCTAGATGATTGATCTTATTCAGGTCTCTTTTTCTATATTTGGTTAAATTCCTATTTTCGGCTATTCTAACTGACCCCGACCGGCTGGTTTCACCCATGTATTTAACTTCTTAATCATTATATGAAATTTGATAGATTAGATTATTTTTCTGAATTGGTTCTATTGGATCCTTGAGGCAGCCGACAAAGTTTATCTCTGAGTGAGTTTGTAGGCTTAAATGCCATCCTAATTCCAGCTTTGTTGATGAGACGATCCTACGTAAAGTTTCTGATATACCTTCCTTATAGGGTAACACAATGGAGGCTGTGAACTCCTTTCCACTTGTGTTGTCATCATTATTCGTGCTCGTGTTACTGTTATTATTTGGTTCCCTGTTTGTTCCTACGAATTTCTTAATGAAGGTTGGAGGATACTTATTAACTATTATTGCTTCTTCTACGTGCTTTATTTCCTTGTGTAGGCCCATGTACTGACTAGTCAGTTTTCCAGCTCTATCACTTAGACATTCGACTAAACATGCCTCGGTTGACACTGAGTTAGATGACTTGAAGTCTAGATACCTGTTTGAATGTGTCGGTTTTCTGTTGTGCTTTGTCTTTTCAGTGTTAACGCATACTGTGCTTTAACGTGTTCAGCAGTTTCTGCATCCACCGAGCTTAACGCTACTTCTATGCTATGTATGACATCTTCTGGTTTTAGATAACCTATTGCCACGTTGAAGTTTAGTCCTTTTTCGAGTATTTTCGTCTCAGCGGAGCTTATGTTTCTTGATAAGATACTGACTACTCATCAAACATCGGTAAAACAAAGTGAGTAGTCAATCTCTCAACCGGTTGTAACACTGAGCTACGGTTTGAAATCTATGAATTCATGCGAAACTCCAGGTTCATAGTTTTCTTTTATATGGTTCCAAACATCCAGTACAAATTACTAATGGTCAAAAACAAACTCAGTGATCAAAAAGTTTTGAATGTAAGTTGGTATGAACACTGAATATGTTGCGAAAAGAGACAAACATAATCAACATAAGACAGCCTCATTGCATAACGGTTCCACTAGTTACATATGTCAGTATATCAATTTTACTCCAGTTTTAGGCTCAGCTCCAAGTTCCAGACTGGATGCCGTTTTTTGGACATTATCGTCTCTTAACCTGGGGATCGGTCCCCTCATGAAGCAGAAAATATCTTTTAGCAACGCAACCGCATGGAAATGAATACTCCTCGAAGAGCACTGTGTTAGCGCTCCCTCAAAACTGATCAGTGAATTCCCTCTCCCAAATGTCAGGCTTCAACATATTCGCGTTCGCTGGGTAATCGACTCGTCGACTACACTGACCTCCCCATGAGCAGATGTACATGGGGTATGTCTCACTGACTATCCACAAGCCACGAAAGAAACACAGGCTTCTCACAAGCTGCCTGAGAAATAGGCTGCAACGAACGATACTCTGCATTCTAGACTAAATACCGCTCCACCTTTGCTAGGTAAACCACACCACCTCTCTTGGAACTGCTCCAACAACAGTGACTACCGGAATTACGAAGCTGTATCCCCTTACCTTTTATTGGTACACTGGGCGGAATCCTGACGGTCACCTGGCCCATCCGTGCTTTAGAGATCCGCACCAGTGATCAGTGCATAAGGACCTCGTCGACCGCTGAGTCAACTATGAAGGTGTTTCAGTTAGAGTGCGAAGGGCTCACGAGATGCTCATCGTCGTTGCGTAACTAGGCTCGATCAGTTTCACTGGTGCACACGTCATCTCCGGCCTTCGCAACCAGCAGCTCAAACAAACGCACCACTTAACCGCGCCATGTAGAGCTTCACACTGATGCCCTGGCACGCAACTGTGGCAAGGCATTTGACTACCTGGAGAGTATCATAGTTACTTCCGCCAGGAAATCTAGTACTGCTAGTGGGTTGAAGATGAGATGTATATGCATCTGCATCACTGTGATCAATTTTGAGCCTTGTCAATTACGGTTCCCAACCATCTGTTTCAATTAGCACCTAGGCCTCAATAAAGAAGTCCATATGAGGCTGTATATGGCTCAAATCTACAACCAAAAACTTTTCAAATTGGTGCCATTCTTTAACATGTCCATACCACAGCTAGTTTCAGCTAAAGCCTACTTCAGCTAATATAGCGTTCTAGGTATAGATGATGGTTAGATATTTATGAAAAATGTGAGTAAGAAGGATAGTCTTTTCAATGATGAATGTAAATCGATCCGATTGATTAGGACACATCTAATATAAGTAAAGATTACAAGCACTGCAGAGTGAGAGGACATTCAGAGTACGGTTGGGATAAAATGAAGTAGAGGGTGGGGTGATGAAGCCATGATATAATGTCAGTTATTGAGTTTTGTTGTGATCTATGTAACCTTACTAGTGAGTCTTTGAGATATCAGTGATCAGTAATGGGGGATTACGGTTGGTGTGAAGCAAGCCTATTTACACATACACAATCACTTGAAGCAGTGGACATTTAAATGCTTCTCATTTATTCATTCGCTCTCTTCTTTTACACCTTGTTGTCTGTTTTAACAAGTTTTCAACTATAAACCACCTTGTCTCTCTTCTCAGCTGCGAACAATAACTAATGCATGCTTGTGTAGAATTCTACACTGTTACCTGCTCTCATCATGCAAAGCTGATTGACTTGAGAATAAGTGACCGTCTAGAGATGTTTATGGGAATGAAAGTCTATTAAAAACTTACTCTAATGATTGATTCAAGAACTTCAACACGACACATTTCAGGCCATGTTACAGTTGTCTGATACAAATCCACTGCAATTAGCAAAGATTTTTCAGCAAATACAATATAATTGAGGGGGATGACATCAAGCTGTTTAAAAACAAATACAGAGGAAAGTGACAGAAGTGTAAACCAGTAGAAATAGATTATACAGATTATTTTTTGTGAAAACGAACAAGTGAAGCGTGTTAAATTAGGATGATACTTAACCAAAGTAGGAGTAGAGTACAATTATTTCCGTGTATGTCTGTCCACATGCATCGAAGTCAATTCTACCTGAATTCGGAACAGTGCATGGCTTTTGAACAATAGTGATATTGTTTACTTTAAGATTTGCTAATACTGCGTCAATAAGAAGCGACAGAAGTGAAGTTAAAAATACTGAAATGTTCAGATTCACCATCGACGATGTTAACAGGATGAGAATGTCGTGGTAGTCAACCGGATAGACATAGAGACAAAATCAACATAAAACCTAGCGTAGAAGTGTATTGGCTCAAGTTGTCACACTTCACAGTAGCACACAAACAACAGATGGATAGGAAAAGAGTGATGTCAAAGTCGACAAAGTTGTGTAAAAGAGTCAACAATCTAAAGATAACGGTTGGTGCAAATATTCAAGCTTTAGAAAACTTCAAGAAGTGAATACATCTGACCCAGTATGACCGGTTTTTATAGATATCACCGAGAGTCCTCAACCAGTGATTCCTTTCTTCTCGGTGACTGTATCCAAGTAGTTGATATCTTCGTATACGGCTCAAGCCAAAAGTTAGGGACTTCATCAACTGGTGCCACGTATGACCACCCTCAAACCTCTTCCAACCTAACTCAACTTCCTGTAGCACGACAAGTTAAGGTAGGTGTTGAATCGGGTGTACAGTACACGTCCGAGTCATCTCAGTTGGTGAAGGTTCACAACCTCATCAATCGACTTGCCTGTCTCACCTAGTAACCTCCGCCTGACCTTAACATTGCTCACACAGTGATTCTACCAAACGCGAGCAATGCTACGAAGACTCCTGTGATCAAAACCACATTATCGCTAGTTATATTGACCACACAAAGTACAGACTTTGCAAACTCATATCTGAGCATCGTGATGCATGGCTGTCAAGAGAAAGGTGCAAACCAACCACTAATTTGGTTCATGAATGCCTAGTCAATTCTGACCACAGTTCCAAAATAGTTTGTCGTCGAGATTATCTACGAAGTGAAAGCACAATAGTTCCAAAGGAGTACGATTTTGCAACTTGTGCACGAAAGAAGCACCTACAATTCATTAATCTAAGGTGAATCTCTGCGTTCAGAAGAAGCATATTCAGTCTCTCATGCTACCGTAACCTTGATTACGCCTTACTATTCTCACTGATTATAACCAATCAGCTCACTGTTATCAGCTTCATTATGACCCTTCCTTACGTCCTTTCTTCCACTTTCTTTACATTTTTCAAGTGTACTTCCAACTATCCTGGAGTGACCATTATCATGCTATTTCGTCTTATGTGCTGATGGAATTCTATCCATAACCTCTAACCGACTAACATTATTCGGATGTCACCACTATGGTGAGTCTCTCAGCTAGGTGATCACATTTGTTTGTTAGTATGAATAATAGAATGTTAAGTGTTTGTCACAGGTATAAACACGATAGCACAACTGTCAAAAATGTCTTCATTGAACAAGATGATTTCTTCTTTAACAAAGCTGTTTATGCACTGAATGATACATGATGTTTCCTAGAACTAAGAAAAGGATTTTGGTAGCAAGTAAAAACAAGGTTGAATTTGGTTTATATCGGCTATTCAAGCATTGATATCTGAAGTTTGAGATTAACTAAACAAAAAGTCACTATGAAATGATAATATTGGGTAGAAATATTGATTCAGAAAGTAAATGTTATGAAAACATTAACACCTGTTTTTTTCTGAATATACAGTTTAGGTTTCAGTAGTCTGTTAACTTATTCTTCAATGTAACGCAGTAAATTCGAGTTTACTTACTATCAATTGCTTTAAATGATTTATGGACATTAGTATGATGAGTATTATGAAATTAGATAGTGATCAAATGGATTTCTGTGGACCTATTTGACTAGCGGTCCTAAATTCTTTGGTATATACTCAGAAATACTATCCGCTCTCCACCAAATGTATTCAAATGAATAATTACTTGTAGTGTGAGAAGGGTTACTGTGAATTTCGGAGTTCTTCAGTGATAAAGATCTATTTTTCTTCCACTTTTCTAGAAGAAGCTAAATTGATACACCAAAGTACTTGTGATAAGTTTCATACCGCCTTTACTCTACCAAGTTATTTTAAACAAACAATTAGTCCTTAAGGTATTCGAATGCACGATAAACCTTCAGTCAGCCAATATCAGGTTGAATATATCCGATAAAACGTTTACTAGAAGTTGAAATGATAATTAATAACAGATTGTATTGCTTTTTTAAGACTAAATATTTCAAGTATAAAAGTTTCAAAGCTTAAATTTAAATTTCGCAGAACAGAAATTAAAAAGTTACATTAAATGCCTTTTTTTTAAAAAAAAAGGCACTAGTGATCTTCCTAAATAGTAACTCTCAAATAAACCGCGAACTAAAACCAACAACAATGTAATAAACTGTGAACTGCATCTACTAATATATGAGCTAGTGATATTACTTGATCGTTCAAACGTTCAAAGGTGTGGAGCAGTGGCTGAAAGTTGAGTTTACTAAAATGTAGACCACAATCCCATTAGTATACTTTCACATCGTAAGTCTGAGTTTCTGGATCAGATTGATTGCGAAATTCATACTTAAATATACATTTTTTCCACATTACAGTGTTTTATATATGCGCAATGTTACTTCAGCCTGTTTTTTGTTGTAGCTCATCTGGAAGAAGGCTAGGCAGGTTATTCGACACGACTGGTTCGAATTTTGTCATAATCTAAGTTTTCAGTTTACCCTCATTCATATCCTGGTATCAATAATATCAGTCTATGAAGCCACATATATCTCAGTAAGATCTGACAACGATGAATCGATTCAGTTGTATTTATGAAATTTCAAATCGCTTTAATCTGACCATCAGACTTGAACTGCTAACATCAAGAGACTCTTGTCACCGAGGCTATGCAGCCACCTTGTCATATAACTCAAACCAAAAATTGTTGGCCTCGTGCATAAATGTTACAGCTTATGTTCTCCACTATACAAGAAGAATGAATGATTTGGAGGCTATCAGTCATAACTGTACTGACGAGTATTATACTGTGAATATGGCTCACCTAAAAGTGTATACATCGTTTTAGGATTACTGAATTGCATATTTATTAGTATGTCAATATTTCCCTTTACGGTTTCACCTAGTAATCAACTAAATAGCGCGCATAATCTACATAAGTCGCTAGAATTCTAACGACTGAAATAATTTACTTTATACCAGTCAAAATATCGAATTTTTTAATTTTTTTTTCAGATTAAACGTAGTCACTTTTACTTGTCTTCATCCAGATCACTTGGTGACTAAGGCATAAGATGTATGAACAGACAGTTGGTTTCACGTTTCATATTCCTTCATGTAGTTCAGTTTGGGATTAATACGTACTAACTTCGTGTATCACCATAGCAAAATCAATTCCATCATGTCAAATGTTGTTTGCTGTAAAGCAGCTTACAGAAACAGTAACGTGGTTAGTACTGACACAGTACTTGTGTTGGTAGGGATATCTTATATTATTTAATGTCTCCCATTAGTAGTATCATAGCACCACTGTAACGAAAATTGCTCTAACTCTGCATCGTTCGCATCACGATAGTGTTAGCTTACGCTTACTTCTGAGTCGCCATGTCGTGATCCTAAGCAGCATGATCGCGCAAAAAACAGTTTAACACAATTACTTGTAAAACATATCTAGACTACTTAGAAGTAGTATAAGTTTTACTATATAATTTTTCCATTGCCAAGTACTTTTCAAAGAACACAGCTATAACTTCAATCGACTAGTCCCTAGAAACCATCTATTTGATACCGCATGTATGTCATAAACTAATGAAGAGTTCTACTCCGCGATAGTTGTTAGCGACCCCTCAAGTCGACCATTAAACTTTGCTACGAAATTTGTAGCAAATTTGCAAACTTCCTGTTCAATTTATGATGATATAACTTTCGGTTCAAAATGACACAATTCTTCAACCACTTGGTGTTACTGTTACACTTGAATACATTCAACCTAACCGAATTTGAGTAGTGAGATAAGACCCTCAGTCTTCATGCAAAAGGTTTGCTTCTCTTTTGTTTACTGTTATACTTCAATCAGATCAATGTATTTTGTGTTTCAGATCAATAAATATGCATATTCCGGTGGTGGGGATACAGTCACTGAACATAGAGAACGTGGTGGAAATTGTGATGTTGATGTATCCTATCAGTATTTGAGATTTTTCCTGGAGGATGATCAGAAGTTGGAACAAATACGTCAAGTATGTATTGGTGAATAGCTCTATTTCTAGTTAGTAATATCCTTGCTTAGTGTTAGATTTACACATAAAAAGACTGAAATCCCTTACATTCAGGACCTATAAGATTACAGAGATTCATTGTTTTTTATACGCTTGTTACGGCTAAAGTGAAGGTGGAGATTTTTGTTGAGTTTAGTTTTCAAGATAGATCTCCATAAATAGAATAGTTACTAAGCATTATGGAGTATTAGATCGACGTTTATTCTTATTCTAGGAATCTTGCAGCAGTAGACACCGAAGACCGCATAGGTTTTTAAAACTGTAAAACGTGTTTCTCATCTATATGTTACATGTTACCCCATTGAGTCAGTTTGTTCTCATATTATCCAACACTTTTCACTTCAGTTCACTTGTGACGTATCACAAGTTGGTTTTTATTGTCATCTGCTAGCACAGAATAACCCGTTGGTTCCAGAAGCCAAACTTTCTTATGACCAATACAGATAGATGTCTTCTTACTTGATAAAGTTCACAAAAAGAAGTTATTGCAGTCCAAAAATATGCGAACAAAGGAGAATAAATGACGATTCAGAGTCCAATGGTTGATATGATTCAATTCAAGTGGTTCCCAGAATAAAGTAAGCGTAGAATTCAATAGAACGTATAATTTCTAAAAGTGAATATTTATAAAATATCACTGACCTTGTAAGACAAAGATTAATTAACACCGTAAAAATTGCACAAAGCAAACAGAAAATTAGTGGGTTTTGCAAAGTGTAATCAACGTGAAAAAAAGAGCCATGAAACAAAAGTATGTTCGACATGATAAGAAATTTGAGCATCCCTAATAGAAGTGACGTTTGGTGGTCAGTTAATCCCTCTCGTTATTCAATTTTAGCTGTTTTCAGTTGAGACAATGAATTGTATATTATAAAACCATGTTTCGTTTAATATGCGGTTTTAATCTACCCGGTAACCGGATAAATTACTCGATTAAAAAGGTTTTTAAAATTACTATCTAGAGTCCTATAGTTCATCTAGTAAAAATATGAAATTGGCTATCCTCGGGTTCCTACTACCAGTAAGTGGTACGTACACACTCAATAGAATGCTATGACGAATACAAAGACTCTAATACTGGTTATATTTCATCTTCTTGTTGGTCTATTTCATTAGTGCCATTCTTGGACGTTGAACGTTAGTTATTAATAGTTCCATTTTTATTGATTTATTAAATTTAGAACAACAGTATTGTTTACTCGATTACGTTTCGGACATAATTTATTGTCCGTAGACTATAGATATGCTCTATATAATTCTAATTGTCTATCCTCCTTTATAAAAAAGGTAGTAAGATTTTCTATATATCCGGAACAGGTGCTGAATCATTCCTATTGCATGTATTCGGTATTGATTCGATAATCGAAGATTCAATTATTAATCTCTCCCTCCACCCCACTATGTTAGTTTTAAGGATTTTCATCCTATTGTGTGGGTGGAGGGAGAAATTGATAAGTGAATCTTTGTTTGTCGTATCGAACTGATACTTAATACATCCAACGCATGACTTCAAAGGCCACCCTAACCACTGCCAAAATAACCAATCGGTTTGCAGTATTTTGTCTGGAAATGCAGCTCCCCATAGATTAGAGAGATGTGATTGGCTGGTTTTTCAGTTGCTACGATGGCCTTTAATCATTCCATCCAACAAGAATGACTCAGCACCTGTTCCGGATATATGCAAAATCATACTATCCATATCACAAAGGGGGCAAGGAGGTTGGGAAGTTGTGTGGTTATCTTGATATGACCATAGACAATAAATTATGTCCGAAACGTAATCGAGTAAACAATACTATTGTCCCACTGTGTGATAAATCTAATGAACCAATGAAAGCGGAATCACATTCTACCACAGTGCACAGATGTTACTCTTACACTAGGTGACACTTTCTGTTTTATTATCAAATAAATGCACGCGTACCTTACAGGAAACAAACCTCATCATATATGGATTCTCCCATGCTTCCCACTTCCCCTCATTTATCACTGTCTCTAGGTTTTACTTCAGTTAGCTTCATTGACATGGCGGTCGTGGTTGCACATTACAATGATCTATTGAGCTGTACTAGTGGGAACATTTGTTCCTTGAAGTCCTGTCACTCCAGAAAAGTGACTGTTATAGTGTAAAATACTGCGCTGTGATAGAGGCTCGTGAGAGACGTCCTACTCCTGGCTGGAAGACAGTGTGCAGTGGCAGTTAGTTGTTTACCACTGATAACCAACATTACCATGTTGATGCTGCTTCCTCTTTGGGGGGGGGGAGGAGTTTAAAAGTGCTTAGCTGTAAAAATGGTACACCCCTCTGCCTCGGTACCGGTTTTATGGGTCTTCTACCTGGGTTAAACTTAAAGCTAAACCCCGAGTTCGAATCCCGACGGGAATAACAACTCACTGTGAGACAGGCATGTCCAGCTGACGATTCCCAAATAGGACGAAATCCATGTCCTGGATTCCACTGCCAGCCACTATCCATCATTATTATAAGCCTCAAGATTACACAACGACCGTGTGTATGACCGGTCTCAAACGTATATATCTTGGGCTCTGCGGTCGAGCACCGCTATTATTGATCCAATTTATTTTTCAGTTATCTCAACAAAAAATAACCTTACGCTGTGCGAGCAACCGGCAAGTTCCCAATGCTCTCTCAATTCTGTCAGCATTCAGATCCCCTCTAATCCTAATCAAATTTCCACACCTTTATTTCTAATTTTTCATCACCTCCTCCGGTCGATATTCCTACGTTATACTAAATTTATTCCAGCTTCGCAGCCCTTGATAACATTTCGGATCAGTGAAACAGCATGTTTAGTGTCCTGAAACCGCTATCAAACTATGCACCAGAGCTTTCAATGTCTTCACAGTCTGTCAAATGGCATTAAGTCCTGAGACAAAGAGCACATTGCTCTACTGGATCCCAGCTGACAGTCACTTGTACGTTGTTCGACTGAGTGGCGTAGTGAGAACTGAAAAGTGAGGGAACTTACCTTTGCCTCTTTATAATCTCTGCTTACGCTTTCACTGACTGTGGTTCGGATGAAGCGAAGAATGAGTACCAGAAATTTTGTAGCCTCCTACTTAAAGCCGAACATTTAGATGTGGTTGTTGTAGCAGATGAATTCAATAAATAGGTGTGTAGGCTAAACCGCTTTCGAAATCCCACTCGAACAAACGGGTAATGGCGATCGCCTGCTATACCTGTGCTCAGGCAGCCACCTACAATCACCACCTACACATTTTTGGTCAACACAAACTTCAAACAGTAAAAGAGAAATTGTCTGGGGTGACATCGACTTGCATCAACCCAACAGTAATCACAGACAAACCATATTGCTATCAGATATCATTCGGAAAGGTCAGTGGTGCTAATGGCTGTCCACACCATGGTAGATTGACTTGATTTAGAACTCGTGACCCATCGGTCGGAAATCAAGTGCCTAAACCAATGAGCCTGACCGCTAGCTGCCACCTTGACGTTGCGGTCGGATTTCCTTACCACAACGAGCCAAGAAGCTATACTGGTGGTACGCTTGTTCCCTCGAGCTCCTACCATGCCAGAAAGGTCTATTAGATAGTGGTAAGACGGAGAACCGACCGGAACAGGCTGGATTCAGGAAGAACAAATCATATGCGGATCAAATTGCAACGCTACGCCACGCATCATCATAGAACAGAGCATAGAGTGACAGTCAACTCTCTACCTCAACTTCATCGACTTTGAAAAGGCCATCGACAGCGTCGACCGAGAAGTGATTTGACAGCTGCTTCAACACTACGCTTTCAGTGCCGCAAACCTTTATCAACCTCATTCAGCAGAAACTATATGCTATATGATGACACTACATGCCGAGCGATTAACAATGGAAAGCTCAGTAACGCCTTTGAAATGAAGACACGTTGGTTGGTAAGGCAAGGTTGCCTACTATCACCGATGATCTTCCTGATTGTGGTCGACTAGACTGAATCATGCAAGAAACTGCGAGGAGCTAGAAGAGGGGCATACGCTGGCTGGATTGATGAAAAGAGCCTAGAAGATTTGAATTTCGCCGATGATGATTTATGTCTGATGTTGAACAAACTCGAAAATCAACAAGTGGACAGAAGAGGCAGTGAAGACGGGACTTCAGGTGAACTCAGAGAAGACAGAGGTGATGAAGGTACCCAGTCGACAACGACATCAACAACAAGCATCAATCACCGTGAACGGGAGAAACCTAAAGGAAGTAGCCTTTTTCACCTACCTATGCAACACATCGTTTCAACTACAGGCGAAGGCGGCACAGATGAGGATATCAAAGCCAGGATCGGAAAGACAGCAAGACAGGCCTTTTCTCTTTAATCTGAAATCAGTGTGGAGATCTACTGCACTGCACTCAGCATAAAGCGTGAACAATATCCGGATTTTCAACACTAATGTCAGTCAAGTAAGTCAGTACTTCTATGTGATGGTTGAGAGACTTGGCGCGTCACGAAAAAGCGTTTCCAACAAACTACATATATTCACCAACAGCTGCCGCATATGCTCACTCGATACTGAAGATCAAATCAGATGGCGAGAATAATCAGAATAAGCAACAAGGAACTCTGGGAAAGAACCAACCGAGAACCCATCGCCCAACAAATATGTAACAGTAGAAAATAGAGATGGATTGGGCATACACTGAGAAGATGGGTTGGGTTCATCAAGTGCCAGGCCGTCGAGTGGAATTCGAATGGAAAACGATGATTCGGGCGTCTGAGCTGAGGGTGACATGGAGGAGATTGTGTGATGAAGAAATGGAAGCTTGTCGGCAGTCGTGTAGCCACGTTGAAAAGACTTCAGAGAACAGAGTGCACTGGAGACGTGCTACTGAAGCCTCGCGTTCCACTAGGAACCCAAGAGACAAACAATAATAATAATAAAAGACGAACAGTTACCGTTGAAGTGTAAATTACTACACTGTAATGGGGGTCTAAGTGCGAAGTCGTACTGTTGTTAGCTGGATGAGTTGTGGTAGCAGTAAAATGTTCTCCTTGGATGACCAGCAGTGGCATGTTAATGCTGCCTTCCCTGTGAGAACGCGGGTTAGAAAAGGTCGACCCCAAAATTTGCACACTCCCTGTCCCAGGGTCTTACAGTGCCGGCGGTATGGGTCCTTTCTATCCAGTGTTAAAACAACCAAACTTCAAAATAACATCCTTCAAAAGGTCATGTGTTACAGGCCTCAAGCAGATGTCCCATAGGCTGTGCGATCACACTAATCCTTTTCTCTATCAGGTACTTTATGAAGAGAAAGCCTTCCACGGTGTGGGCAGACGGAAAGTGTCAACCGTCTACACGCTTCTAGTAGTACACAGGAGCCAATCAAACATAGCCTATACCTCTCAACTTTTTTCTTCTTTGCTTTCACTTCCTGATACCAACGTCAAGCCTCTCGTACTTTACTCAACCTCTCTCATCGAAACTTCATTCCTAGTCTCCTAAGACCCCCGCTATCGATCCCAAGAATGAATTCTATAGAAAGTTGTCAACTTTGTTACAGAAAGTCAACTTTTCAAATGTAGTCATTATGGTAGGTGGCTGTGATGTTTAAGTACGAAATCAGAGCCAATCGGAAAAGCATCTAGGGGGTATTACGGAATCTCATGCCAACGAACTGACAAGTTAATGATCTATTGAACTGTTTTTTTTTCTGGTCAAATTGATATGTTTCACTGTCAGAGAATAATTCCTCCAGAGAACTATCAGTCAGTCACTAAACTGAATACACAGATGGTGGTAATGTCTAGTACTGGAAGCACTGATAATAGAGTGAGTGATTAAGATAGGATATTCTAACTTTCCTATGGTATAGTATGTACTTCTTTCGATATTCAATCGGCACTTCACATTCATTCATTCGTTCAACTTTTTAAAGTTTCACTTTCTTCTCTGTACACTAACTCTATTTTAATGTTTAATTTCTAGGATTATTCTAGTGGAAAAATGTTAACCGGTGAATTGAAAAAAGAATTGGTAACACTCTTGACAGATTTTGTTGGAGAGCATCAAAGGAGAAGAGCAGCAGTTACAGAAGAAATAATTGATGAATTTATGACTCCTCATCCATTGAAGCTTCCTTTCATCTGAATATATATATATATATATATATATATATATATATATATATATTGAATTATTCATTTTGCATATCAAATTAATAACTTGAAGGATATTGAAAATATAACCTTTGTGAATAAACTTGTATGGATAATAATGTTGTGTATTGTTTCACATGTTGTACTGGGCATTTGACTATTGAAAACCTTACATCAGATGTACACTTCACTACAATCTATTTTTACCAAGCTGTACATTTCATTCCCCCCCCTCCGACCCCAAAAATATTCAATACCAACCTATTAGTGGTGCATTTGTGCATCTTGAATATTGGAGTGACTTAAAGATCACTCAAGCAACTGCTGAGATAACCTGCATTTCACGAAAAACTATCCCCCCTACCCCTCAGTCGAAATCCTGAAATTTGATGGGTTAACTTAGCAGTTGCTAGAGTTATTCGAATATTGTACAGGCTCTGTCTATCCTGCACTTTAAATTTTGCGATCATTGTGAATTATCAATGTTACACATTTGGTTTAAGAAATCACAACGATTACAAATGTTTAAACACCTCACTATAAACAATTTTATCATAACAGTTTAATGTATCTCGCACAAAATAGATTTCTATCGATCTTTTATTTGTGTAATGTAGATTAATCCCATCCAGATTAAGTTTTTGGCGCAAAGATTGAACAAACCAATAGTCATAAAGATGGTAAATACCGTGTAGTGTTAACACATCGATTTAAAAGACAGAGTTTATTGGTAAGCAAAAGAACAATATTCAAGGAAGAAAGCCTGCAAAACAAGAACACTATTTTCACTGTCGAAGAGCATGCAGCAACTTAGAGTACATTCATGCAGTTGATAACGAGCCACACTTACTGTCTGAGAGCTAGGAGTGCTTCCTCACTGCCCAAATCTCGGCAAGAGTTCGAACCCGTGACCTACCGGTTGATAGTCATCCCCATAAACCGCTGAACCACAGTCACCAGTTTAGGCTCGTAATCCAATTGCCAGAGCACCGCACCGGTAACCCGGAGGTCGCCGTTTCGAATCTTGCCGTTGTTCAGATTTCCACTTCACCTTCAATCATCACCGAGCATGAGTACAAGTCTACCAAACCATGACTCGTAGATGATCAAAGTGATAGTCTAAATTATGAAAATAAAAATTCCTAGTGTTCTCAGTCTACCGGCTGGAGTTTCACTGCACACCTGTCAAAATATAAAGTATTGAAACCAAGATTAGACTCTTGTCCACTTCTAAAAATGTAATATTCATTTCTAAAATCCTGAAAGTACATATACTTAGTGAATTCACACTACTGATATCGTATCCGTTTGTTGCATTGGCAACACATCCACTACTCATGAATTACAGGTGTAAGCTTGAGATTAATGTTCCACATACAGAATACCTGTCGGTGTACGATTATCGACTGTTGCGTTGAGTATTGCAGCTGCCTACACAAGCCTATTTCAGTAGTTCTTAACATGTGAGTAGCTTTCTAGTCGTTACATCCCAGTTAATTGCTTCCGTAGCTTATTGTCTAGTTACATTATTACTTTTTCATGTGCACAGAGATGTTTGCCTCAGGCAGCTTTCAACTCACATACAGATAAATATGGAATTAGAATTCTGTAACAGAGATTCATACAGTCTTATTTATCTGCATATAAGAAATGTAATGTTTTATCCAATCTTTAGTTTTTGATTGTAGAAACAAATGTGAAGTAGACATCGATGTTTTACTTCTACTTGATCTTAAAATAGATTTCAGTTCAAGTGAACCGAACTGGAAAAATGTTTTTTCCCTATCTGCTTCAAAATCTCAGATCATTAAAGGTCGAGTTAAAAAGTCGATATGGCCATCATGTGTGTAAAGCTGTTTTTAAGAGAGTACAGTCCGCCACTAGTGGTGTAGCTTACCTAACAGAGATGCATGGTTTGATTAATATAAAATTGGATTGACGATTAGTCCATCAAATCTCATTTACCGTAGTGGTACTTTTTTCATTTTCTCCGGGGGACGGTCACCACGAGTATTTCTTCCTATGTTTAATTATCTGGTCGTAGCTTCTTCTTTATGTCACTGGACAGTACAAAGCTTAGAGGTTAGATTATCAAGAAGTGTTAGATGACAATATGTTTGCATTTTAGCTACAAAGCGTCTGTAGTCTGAGTATTACATACTTATCAATGTATCAAAAACTAACAGTGTCAATAATATGAGAAGACTTCCTCACTGTGGTAGCATGTAATCCCATGTTAGTCTGTTTATTAGGTGTGTCACAGAGTGTTTTTTACTGAATAACCGTTCGGGCATAATTTATTGTCTATATTCATACTAGGTAACTCCACAGTTTTGAGGTATGGTTCATATAGTTCTAATCTTCTCTCCTTTTTCATAAGGGTGGTAGAATTTTCCATATATCAGGGACAAGTGCAGAATCGTTCCTACAGCACGTATTTGGTATTGATTTGACAGAAAAATATTCGGTTATCAATCTCTGTCCCTCCATTAAGTTAGTTTTTGGTGTTGTCGCTCTATCCCATCTTATTGTGTGCGACTGCATGCTATAGCCGAGCTTTTTTAAATTCCTACTACTAAGAGACCGATTAAAGTGAGTCAGCAATATTGGATTGCAAGATCAAACAAAAGCAACATGAAAGATTTAGATACTAGCGTTTATGAGAAACCATCTCATTCGAATATCTGCTTAGACTTGAAATAATTTCACTATCTCAGTTAAAGTAGGGTTGATTAGACGTCTAAGTAATAGGGTGGAAAAGCTTACTGGGATGATGAAATCTAAAACAATAAATTAGACGGATTAAGAATAACTTACGTCCCGATAATTACCCACCTAAATTTGTAAGTTCATTAGAAATCGTAGAGAAAATACGAGTAGTAGTAACAATAATCCTGCTACTACTAATAATAGTAATAATAATAATAGTCGGCCTTCTCAGTGTATGCCCAATCCATCTCCACTTACTTCCAGTGCATTTTTGTTGAGTTCTTGGTTGGTTCGTTGCCAGTCGGCCAGAGTTCCTTGTTGCTTATTCTTTCTGGCCATCTGGTCTTCAGTAGCGAGCGTAAGCAGTTGTGGATGAATATCTGCAGTTTATTGGAAATCCGTTTTGTAAAGCACCAAGTCTCTGAGCCATACAGAAGTTCTGACTTGACTGGCATTGGTGTCAAAAATCCGGATCTTGTTCCACATTCTGAGTGCAGTGTAGGAGATCTCCACACTGGTTTCAGGCTAATGAACGCCTGTCTTGCTTTTCCGATTCTGACTTTGACATCCTCGTCTGTCCAGCCTGTAGTTGAAACGATGTTGCCCAGGTAGTTGAAGGAGGTTACTTCCTTTAAGTTTCTCGCGTTGATGGTGATTGGAGCTTGTTGTTGGTGGTGGTGGCGTTGTTTGGGTGTCATCATCACTTCTATCTTCTCTATATTCACCTGAAGTCTCGTCTTCGCTGCCTCTTCTATCAACTTGTTAGCTTTTGCCTACAGATCTTCAAGTTTATGTGACATCAGGCACAAGTCATCATTGGCGAAATCCAAGTCTTCTAGGTTCTTTTCCCCAGTCCAGTGTATCCCCCTCTTCTCGCTGCCCACTGTTTGTTGCATGATCCAGTCGACCACAATCAGGAAGATGATCAGTGATAGTAGGCAGGCTTGTCTTACTCCTGTCTTCACTTTGAAGGCATCACTGAGCTTACCACTGTGGACTACTTGACATGTAGCGTCTTCATATTGTTGTTGAATGAGGTTGATAAAGGTTTGTGGTATTCCTTAGTGTTGAAGCAGCTGTCAAATTACTTGATGAAGTTAAGGTAGAGAGTTGACTGCCATTCTGTGCTCTGTTCTATGGTGATGCGTAGCGTTGCAATTTGATCCTCACATGATTTGTACTTCCTGAAGCCTGCCTGTTCCGGTTGTAGTTTTGAATCTAGCGCATCCTTAAGCCTCTCCAGGATGATGCAGCTTAATATTTTGCTTGGGGTGGACAGGAGAGTGATTCCGCGCCAGTTCTTGCAAACACTGAGGTCTCCCTTCTTCGGCAGTTTGACAAGGTAACCCTTCTTCCAATCAATGGGCAGGTACCTTCCCTTCCTTCTACACCTTCTGCAATAGTGGTGTGGTGTGAGCATGTCCGCTGTTGTCTCTACATCTGCTCTCAGTGCCTCTGGCGGGATTCCAACTGGTCCTGCTGCTTTCCGCATTTCAGTAGCTTTATGGCGCTCAGGACTTTCACTTTTGTTGGAGGATTTGTGTTCACTTGTAGTTCTGTGACTGGGCTGCAGGTGGTATTTCTGGATGAAGTGCAGGTGGTAGTTGATTCATGATCTTTTTGAAGTGGTCAGCCCATCGTTTCCTTTGTTCCTCTTTGTTAATTAGATTTTCTTCACCATCTTTTATTGGTCTCATCTGCATTGATCTCTTCCCAGATAGTACCTTGGTTATTTGATACAATGTTGTCAGGTCTCTCTTACCTGCAGTCTGTTCTGCTTCACTTGCCAGTGTTTCGTAGAAGTGTCTTTTGTCTTTGTCCGCGTTCCTCTTCACTTCTTTGTCCAGTGTAGTGTTTTATATGTTGTACTCAGTTCCTCTTCTCGTCGTTCATCCTTGCACTGGTTTATCTTCTGCTTCACCATCTTCCTCTCCCTGTTCTATCAGCTTCTGTGTGTCCGTCGAGATCCATTCCTTATCTTCTTTCTTCTTGCTTCTCAATATGGTTATGCAGGTTTCTTTCCATATAGATTTCAAAGACTTCCAGTGTTCTTCCACACAGGTTTCTTCAACGATGTTGCTCAATGTCTCCCATTTTGTCCTGATGACTGACGTGAATATGTCCTTTGTAGTTTCATCCTTCAGTTTCTGTTCTGGGTGTTCAACTTCAACTGTGGTCTGTCATCCCCAGCTTCTTTGAAGGCTTTCAACTCGATTTTGAAGGTAGATTCCTTGCACTAGATAGTGAGTGGTGTGAACCTACATCTGCTCCCCTTCTTGATCTTGTGTCAAGTAGGCTGTGTCTCCACTTTCTTCAAATTGAGATGAAGTTGATCTGATTTGTAGTGTGTCCATCTGGTGAAATCCATTTGCTTGAACACAGTGACTTCAATCAGCAAATCGTTGAATGCACAGAATTCTGCAAACAATTTTCCATTCTAATTCATTTCACCGAGTGCTTCTCGACACATGGTTAGTTCTCTTCCTGTGTTGTTCCCTCCCAGTTTCGCATTCATGTCGTCCATTAGAATTTCGATGTCGCCAACTGAGGTCTTGTGCAGTGCTGATTGCAGTTGTCTGCAGAATTTTTCCTTCTTCCCTTGATCTGCATTATTTGTAGGTGCGTAGCACTGAATGATTGTGATTTTCTATCCTTTTGAGTTGAACCTTGCTGTTATGATCCTGGAGGAGATTGGTTCACACTGTATGAGAGCCTTTGATGCTGTTGAGGACATCATGATAGCCACTCCCTGAGTGTGCTCATGGTTGTCGTCTGGGTGACAATATCGGAGTAGATTATTGATTCTGCAGTTGACAGTTTGAAGAGTCCACTCCCATTCCATCTTCTTTCGCAAATTCCTAGCACTTC